CTTATAAGGCAGGTACATGTACCTTCTGATGATTCGTGGTCAGTTTTGCGCACGTAGGCATGTACATAAACAACACCTACCGCTGATGACTCCTTTTAAAGCTCATTAAAATTTGAAGGACGCAGTGCTTAAGAAACACGGTTTAAAATCTCACCGGGAAAACTACGAGGTTACTAAAAAAAGTTTATAATTATCTGTATTCTATCATTATCATTCAATCATTCAATCTACAGATGTTCACTGCTGGATATAGGCTTCCGTCAAGTCTCACCACAAGACTGGTCATGCGTTGCCTGCCTTCGCGCTAACCTTAATAGGTCGTCGGTAGTCCACCTTTTTTTTGTCAGGAGGAAATCGCCGGTCTTCCGCCCTCCACTGGGAATGGTGGGCGGGATATGTCGGACTCAAACCGACTAAAACTTCCTATCGCTCAACAACCCATGTCCGAACCTCGCATGAGACAGAACTCATGAATCGGTCCACCTACACACGCTGCGTCTTCCTACTCTCATAATTATGTTACACAGCATGAATATGCAGAATGTAGAAACACGGTGCTTATTTTTTTTTTGACGATTTTTTACACGTATACGTATATAGGCACCCTAAAGTGCCCATTGGATCTTGTGCGTGAGATTCGTTTGCCCATCAGCTTTTAAAAAAAAAAACAATTAGAAAAAAACAGTTTGTTGCACATCCTGACAGTTAATTACATCAAGCCGCACGTTAAGACCTTTGTGTTAATTAGCCACACGTAATAAGAACTAGGTACTATTACAAAGTATTCGAAACGTAGATAATTGTAAAACATAAGGCTGGGTTCACACGGCATTGTCCTGCATGTTTTCTTTTTATTCGTTAATTTAACGCACAATCAGCCGGGTGGTTTATACGGTAGATTTTCTTTTGTGTAAAAACGAACGTGTGAACGAGACAGAGCTATACTATGCGTCGTGTGCGTCAATGTAACGTTAAAGTTCATTCGATTTGCTTGAAAAGTCCGTTGAGTATTCGTTTAACCGCATAAGCGGTGTACGATTTTTTGCAGTACAAACCACATGAGAATGGTTCTCTAATTCTCTATGTACAATGTATATGTGCCACTATTTATTCGTTAAGACGTATACTGCAAATAAACGTCTGAACCCAGCCTAACGCAAACGAATTCTTGAGGATAAATATTTTTTAATTTAATTTTACCACAGTGCAATTCGTTGACAGATGGATAGATTTCAACTTAGTCTAGAAAATCTCTTGTAGCATAGTCTTTATCTGCTTCATAGTCTTATTGAGGTAGTTTCAATATCCGATTGGAGCCAGCAACGTTGCCAAGGATATTTGAAATTACTTATTATTGTGTTCGATGTGTATTTCTGGTGATTACATTATACAGTATAATCCTTTATTTCAGTAAATTGAATCTTTTCCGTTCATTGTTCTCTATGATTATAATCATTTACGTAAGGAGAACTCGAGGGCGCATTCAAAGTGACAAAAACATAGCTCACGTAACAATTCCTTGAAGCGCATTTAGTAGAATCGTAACAATGAAGCAGAAATAATTCTGTTAAAATTGTATTCGATACACGAAGTGAACATAATAAATAAATGGGAATAATATGTGAGAGATTACGAGTCGCCGGCTGGATATCGATGTGATGATGTCCAGCAGTGGACATCTGGTGATTAAAGACGACCCTAGATGAGGAACAAGGGCGCGGTCTACAGCAAGTTTTTACTGGTGGTAGGACCTCTTGTGAGTCCGCACGAGTAGGTACCACCACCCTGCCTATTTCTGCCGTGAATCAGTAATGCGTTCCGGTTTGAAGGGTGGGGCAGCCGTTGTAACTATACTGAGACCTTAGAACTTATATCTCAAGGTGGGTGGCGCATTTGCGCTATAAGATAAGATACGAAGAAGATAAGGTAAGATATAAGATAGGATATAATTATACGTTGTAGATGTCTATGGGCTCCAGTAACGACTTAACACCAGGTGGGCTGTGCGCTCGTCTACCCATTTAAGCAAAAAAAAATCACCTTAATTTTTTCAATATCTGTTCGTAAAATAGCTAATTAACGTTAATTTACCCCGAAATAATTTACATAATTTTTATTATGTAAAAAAGGACATACAATAGACATTCAGCTGTAATGTTCTATTGAATAAATGGTACAATTAATATTATCATAGGATAAAAGAACAAAGCATTTTAATACAAACAAACTTACTACCAACATAAAGCATATGTCGCTGAATTAGTACAATAAAGCAGAAGACTTATGTTTTTTTTTTGCCTATTTATACTGATCTTCTATATCATCAGCTATATCAGCTTCTCCTTGACGTGTAGGTGAGCTCACGGGGCTAAAATCGGGAGTGTTGCTAACACTGGCCCCAGCAAGACCAGTGCTTCGCAGATATCACCGGATCGGAAACGTGACCCACTGAGAAGATCCGGCGAGAAACTCAGTGGGCTGTGGGTTAATTCACTCGTCGACCCCTTCGCAAGCAAGACGGGTTCGACGAGGACGGTGACCGGTGCTTGTGTTACCTAAAAGCACCGTTAATGGATCGGGGAATACGTACCTAATGACGTGTTTAGGGCGACGTCGACTGTTCACCATTCGCTCTACAGGATCAGGTATGAGACTTATGTGTTATCGTTTTGTGCTATTATTTTGACCTGCGACATCATGAGTTTACGGGGATTCTATTCCAATATGTTTTACAAACATTGTACTCATAGTTAAATGCGTGCCCGAACAATGGTTTAAAATATAACAACCGCTCTGGTAGAAATCGCTAACGGGGAAAGCTAATGTTTCGAATTAAGAAACCGCTTCTTTTTTTTTATTTGAAATTGGTTAACATTTTTGTGTTTCGATACTATTTATGTTTGAAGAATGTTTGTTGTCTGTCGGTGTTGAACGAGTGGCTAATGAAACCCTGCTCGAAGAAAACACAGAAAAGGTGCAGAGCCCCTTAATCATACAGCAAATATGTGATAAAATGTTCTCTGAAAGCCTTCGAGAGCTGAACGCAGCTTCGCGTTCTTCTCGCAATTCTGCTTCACCGCGGGTGGCGCGGTGGAAAAACGGACATGACATAGGATCATCATCAACAATTCCTCGGAGAAGTTCCCGATTGTGCAAACAATGGTCCTATGATATTAATATCCTCGTACAATGTTAGCATACGTAAAAATTATTGGTAAATTTTGTGTAATTTTCCCGTTTTTCCGTTATAGTTTTTGATCGTGTTAAAAATTAGTAAAAAAAAATCAGTATTATTATCAATTATTCCAGCTGTGCAGAGCGAAATGAAACTCATATACTTAAATGAAAAGCATAAAAACACGTTTTACGAGACAATAAAGATAATGAACGTTGTACAACATCGGAGACAAAGCGCGAATTTATAAGTCAGAAAGAATTCTATGTTCTTTTGTTTCATCTAAGCGACACTCACCCGGTCTCGCGCGTGTCCAACGAGTTGATTGAAGACCTCGGAACCAGCGGACGGTAACTCGACCTCGTCATCTTCGATTCACTAAATCATTTGGCACTTAATGTACGATCAGATCGCAATCCATTCATACGTCACAAGTGCGTAACTACTGTAATATCACACGTCGATCTGAGCGAAGCGACGAGCACGCGACAATGACTGAGAGCGACTGATTAACGTTCATAAACATTCTTCATGTAAACTGCACTTTGCGATAACGCATATCAATATCAAGTATCGGGGACGAACGCCTGTCGATACTTTTATTAACATAAATAGATTTAAAAAAGCCGAATACGGCGGGTGTTTACGTTCGGTGTGAATGGAACGATCGATATAATTAAACTTTGGGGTGAAAGCTCCCGTGAACCACGCCTTGGGGGCCGGTTTTACGGGCTTCGAGATAAGCTTAGTTTAGTGACATCTGTGTAAGGGCCGCGGAACTAAATAAGTTGAGGGTTGACAATTGGCTGTTGAGGAGGATGGTTGAATATGGTGCTGTTTAGTTTTTCGAGAACATTTGTTTACAAAGTTAAAATCTAATCAATAGATTTTTCTTAAAATTCGTTATAAGTTCATGATAGGGTTCCAAAGAAAATGTCGTAAACCTATAAGGTATAGATAATAAAGAAAAGTGCGGTTAGAGATATAAAATGAGACTAACAAATATTGGTACGAACAAGATACATAACTGCGATAACTTCGCTAAGATAGTGTTTGCTATTATTATTAAGTGATAATACTTTAGGTACTATTAAGTTATTTGTTAATTTGAATTTTAGCTTGAGTTTGAATGTTCATTCGAACCGCCGAACCCTTAGGCCAGTTACTGCACACACACAAACTTGCAAATTTTTGTTTCAATTGTTCCAAATTAATAACTCAAGTACGTATCAAAATAAATGTTATATTTGAAGAATTCTTGACTTGTTTCAATAAGTACCCGATAACACTATAACAGTGCTTAGTATAAATAAGTCGAGAATAAAGTTAGGTACATTTCTGTTGAAAGGGAAAAGGTAAAATTAAACGCATTGCTAGATAACAAGTATTACTTAAAGAATTTATATGTACTAGAGGTCCCGCAGTAGTCGAAATTCGACTATAATTAATTGGAATTGTAAGTTTGTACACTATTAAGATTGTATTTTATACTTCTCTAATCACAAATTTCGCCAAGACTACACTATAAAAAATATTAACAAAGACAAACCATATTCTATTCTCAATTTGACAACAGACGTCAAGAACAAAAGTTTGACAATAAATAGTACGTATGCGTGTGTGCGTCAAATACATGGTATGTAGGGTGTGTAATATTTTCTTTATTGATTTAATGTATCTTTTATGAATTATTTTAAAAAAATATTAGCATTGTGCACTTCTTCTCTATACTCGCAATTTTCTGAAAAAGAGATACAAAGTTTTTGCTTCACGTATTAATATATAGATTATATTACCTATAGAGTTGTAACGTACGTAATATTTCTAATAAAGAAAAAATATCGTAATTAATGTAAGACGCATCGCGTATTGAGTAATTGCTTATCGATTACTTGTACAAGGTGAGAACGAATATTGATTTTAAAAATTAATTGTTACGATAAATTTTTAAATAGTCTTCTTTGTTTGTTCGATTGCAGGCATTTCTTCTGTCGAGTCGCTTTCAGCCTTATTCTTCTGTCCGTCATCTTTGATTAGTTCGTCTAACTCTTTTTCTGCGTTTTTCAAGTCTTCTTCGGTGATGTTTAGATCCGGGAATCGCCTCTGAAAATTTGAAATACACTTTACGTAGTCAGATGTTCCACATTGGTTGACACCCGGAACTAGGATTTTCTTAGATCGCTCAGTTAGATGATTGTTCACAGTGGTTTCCGTAGCTCATAGACATCATGAATACCGTCACCTTGAGAGATGAGATCGTAGTCACAAGTATTTTGCATAACGGCTGTCCCACCCTTCAGACATAATTGCTTCGCAACAGAATCGATGAGGTGGTTGTGTGGGGACTCACATGACGCCCTATCACCAGTAATTACGCAAATTATATTTCTGTGCCTTATATTTAAACCACACAACGTTATTCCTTCACCATGAAAGGTATTCGTCATTATAATTGTGAGCTTGAAACATAGTTTTGCGGATCGCATATGAGTACACTGGGAATCTTATTCTTCAGAAGTCATTGATACTTCATAAAAGAGGCTATACTCATGCGATGTCATATAATATATGCTTTTTTATTTGACTTTATCATGCTTTTTTAGATTTATTTCAACCCTTGGAAAAAGCGTAATTATTATAAATATCACAAGATTTACGTGTGAAAACGAATGACGAATAAACATTTTAGTGTCCACTATGGCACACTACCTTCAATTCGTATCATAGAGCGTAGTTAAGACTTAGGTACGATTTTGGATATCACGTCGTGAAGTGATGGCTTCTCATATAGGTACATTACACGAACAATACCAGTTGGGTGGTAATAGCAAAAGAAACAAAATCAAATTTCATAGCGAATTGTTCACGTACTTACTACGGTCATGATTCAGAGACCAATTAGTTAATATGTCTGTCTATTTGCCAAAACAATTACGCTTATATAAATAAATAAATAAAATATATATCTTCACCAGAATAAGTCAAGAAGAAGTAAAGCGTTAGTATCCATTTCAACTGGTGGTACTGGTGGTAGGACCTCTTGTGAGTCCGCACGGGTAGGTACCACCGCCCTGCCTATATCTGCCGTGAAGCAGTAATGCGTTTCGGTTTGAAGGGTGGGACAGCCGTTGTAACTATACTGAGACCTTAGATCTTATATCTCAAGGTGGGTAGCGCATTTACGTTCTAGATGTCCATGGGCTCCAGTAACCACTTAACACCAGGTGGGCTATGAGATCGTCTACCCATCCAAGCAATAAAAAAATAAAAGTAGTTTATCAGCTTGCTTTAATTACCTGCATCTCTTGCAACGTTTTTTGAATGTTCTCCTGCTGTGTCCTCATTCTTCTAGGCAGCATGAAAAACGTATTAAAAGTACGTAAAATAAGCCAGCCCACCGCTGTCATTGCTGCGTACACCAGCATAGCTTTCCCCATTGCCCAATAATCCACATTAACTTGCTGATGCTTCATTGTTAGTTTTAGGGTATTTGTTGTTTTTAAAAGTATTTGAATCTGTCGAAAATGTTAAAAATTCACGATTTGGTTCAATTTTTCTTTGAGTTTGTGAGGATTTTTCGACGTGCTGCTGGGAAAGAAGGCACGCTGTGTATGCTGCGAGTGGCCCGCGATCGATTATATGGTACGGTCTTGGTAATAATTGATGGACACTGTGGTGGTCAACAATCACACTGGAGGTTGTATTTTTTGCGTTTTTCTATTAATTTTAATGGTCAATGTTTAATGAAATAAGTCTCAAAAATACCTTATCGTTTTTTACTTTTGAATTTTCATATACCTACATTGCTGTAAAATATGAGGATTTAGTATCGGGCGGGCCTTGAACTAAATTTTCGAAATATGTACTTCAAATTATCTGTAATTTTAGATATACAATGGAACTCGATATGCCAAGGTCTATATGGCAGTATCTTGCAATCGCTTGCTGACTAGGTTGGGGGAAGGACATGTTCCAAAGTTAAATGAAAAATCTAAGTAAAAATTCGTTTTATTTTGACACTAATTCCAATTTGCTGTACTAAATCCTTATCAGTACGCTTATCTATACATATAAATAAAATTGGAGTGTCTGTTTGTAATATTGAAATAACCGCTTTTTACTACATGCATATGAATATAAATACGTTACATACACCAAAATAACACTTTTTACAATTTTTGTCTGTCTGTCTTTCTGTTTGTTCCGGTTAATCTCTGGAACGGCTGGACCGATTTTGATTTTTGTAGACTAGTTTCACGCCGCGTCGTCACCCGCGTTACGACAATAACCGCGGGTAACGTCGCGGGACTCAGCTATGATCAAGAATAAAATTTAACGTTTCCAAAGCGTGAGTGAGTGAGTGAGAAAGCGTTCCAAAGTGAGGGCGGGTCACTAGTGTTATAACAATAATGAACCTGCAATCAAACGTAAATGCAGCCGCCGGATCGAGTATCGTGAGAGCGTTGATCCCGCGCTTTGAAAGATGAGTGCTAATTGTGATACACATGATTTTTTTATTTTTTTATTTTAGACTATCGTTGGCGAGGAAGAGGAGGCAAGCAGTGGTGTAAGAAAAGAAAGAATGTTTTATTGTTTCCTTCCAGATTGTATTTTAAAATAACGGATAAAACGTAGCACAGGTACACGGGTGTTATGCGTAGGGCTCATAGATGATACACATAAATTAGTTATAGGCAACGCAAGCACTCAATAAAAATTTTTACGGGCGTCGGCCACTAGATGGCTTCGGTTCGATTAGTTTCTCGTTCCTGCAGATTAGAGCTATATTGAGTAGATTGATAAAATGTAGTCAATTTGTTAGCCGTTGTAACTATATTGAGACCTAAGAACTTATATCTCAAGGTGGGTGGTGTATTTACGTTATAGATGCCTATGGGCTCCAGTAACCACTTAACGCCAGGTGGGCTGTGAGCTCGTTCATCCATCTCTTTTTTTTTAGTGCCCTTGTAGGCAGACGAGCATACGGCCCACCTGATGGTGATGGTGAATCATTGAACGTAGGAGACCCTAAAATCTCTACCCCAAGCCTCGCCACAAAGATCGGTCCTGTGTTGTTGGCATCTAGCGGATTCCCGCGAACCTTAATAGGTCGTCGGTCCATCTTGATAGTCCTATAATCTCTAAGGCTTAGTCGGCGAAATGATTTCACTGAACAACAGTTCAAAATTTCTCTTAAGTATTCCTGCAACAATGCAAGACAGCCTATTTATTTATTTATTGAGTCGTGTAGATTATTCACTTCAATAAGTGTTATTGATATTAGCAGATATGGCTGATACTGATACCCGAGGCTGGATAGGAAGCCTAAAATAGCTCATAAGATACAGCGAAGTAATAGTGCGCATGTTACTGATAACACTGATAATAAATAAGTTATCCGGTGCTGTGACCTCTTTGGAACATTAAACAACTGGTGTTTTATCGATATTATGTATTATAGTTATAACTTTTTGTTATTAAATAAATTATACTAAATTTCATGATATATTGTTTTCTTGTAATCCATTTTGCTTTGGCGGTAACCATTTGTAAAAAGATTAGTTTATTGAATAATGTTAGTTTTTATAGGCAAGGGAGAGTCTAACTAGGCGTATTAATTGTAAACTAGTAACCATTTGATGATGAGCTTTCGACCATAATCACAGACACTATTAGATTTTGATTAGGATTAGATTCTGCTTTATTCTAATTTAAAATGAAAGTCAATTTACAAATAGCTCGAAAGATAGCCTCTGTATCTACAAAATAAAACACAGTTGACTGTAAGACGGGAAATTGCAAACTTGGTCTTTGCCTTTTTTAATAATAATAAGTACGATAGTGTCTACCTATAATTTTATTTCTTTTGTTTACCTTATATTTTTTTATTACTCTTGTGTAGGAGTGGCAGCAAGAAGATTTGACTGCCGAACTTTTGTTAAATACCTAAAAGCTCACAGTGTGAAATGCCCAATCCACTTTGAGAAATGGAATCGAATTCAGAAGCGTATGGTATACTTGGTGTCCTTCCTTCGAATCGGCAAGCACGATGGCAAATTATATTCTACAATTAAGCGTCGGAAAACGTTTACCAATATTTAAGGCGCGGCTTTTGGTCTGCTTAATGCTATTAGAAATCAGAATTAAAAATTTAAATAAACAGATAGTGTATTAATGAAATCGTTGCTAGTGTTGCTCACCCCTGGAATCGATAATGATAAAGGCGGAATGGTGGCATTGACGCCACGATATCACAGCTGGTTGATTCTTAATGTTACACATTCGATTATCAATTTTAGGTTATGAAGAGTATGTATGACGTATGGTCAGAACTTATTTGGCACTTGAACTAATTCGTTAGACAAACGCTAGCATGCTACTCGTGTGGCTTTTATAATTAAAATTACAACAACAAAAATAAAGTATATTCCGGCTCGCTTCCTAAATTCAAGAAGAAGCAAAATTTAAAATTTTTATTTTTTATTTTTAATAATAATTATTATATTATAATACTTTGTATTAATTGTATGTATATTTACGGAGATATGTATGTGTATATGTATGTGTATGTCAGCGTTAAGCCAGGATTTACACACATAAGTTCTTTTACAATGAAAATACAATACAATTCTATAAAACTTTAACATTACTTGTTTACAACAAAAAGCCACGCCTGAGTTATTCAGTGGTTTTTACACAATTAGCCATTTTGTGTTGGTTATAGCAACTACAACTTCTTTTATACAAACAAATGTAATTACTGCGAAACAATTCACAAAACATAGCTTAATATTCAAAATACATATTTTAGTGATTTTACATGACTCACATTTAATTTATTTTACATGAATTACTTTTAAGTAATATTAACTAACATTGTTATTATCCAGCCTAATAATAGATGGCGCCAACAACATCATTGCATAACAATTACAATACTTAATTAAATTATTAGTACTGTTAATTATAATATAAATTATTATTAATATTTATGCTTTATTTATATTTAATAATTTATACAGTCATTTGTGTTTTTAAACAATAATATAAACATTAAACATATTCTGAACATTTTCACATCAAAAGTGTCTGCTAATTATTAAATATGGTAGAATAACAGTTTTGTTGCTAATAATAAATAAATATTAACATAGAATAAACTAAACTATATATTATTATGTTAATTATTGCCAAAAGTGGCGTTTGCGCCCATATGTACATATATGTATATTATATGTATTTCACTGGAATGGTACACCGCGCGTAGTTCGTTTCCAAATGATTCTTGTCCACCTGAGGGTTGTCTGGAAGAGATCGCTCTTAGCGATAAGACCGCCAATTGTACTTTTTTGTTTTTAATGTATCGTACTGTTTATTTGTTTTTTGGTGTACAATAAAGAATACTCTCTCTCTCTCTCTCTCTCTCTCTCACTATGTCATGAATTGGTGGTGGTAGGGCGTATCGTAAGCTCGCACGTGTTGGTATCACCATCCCGTTTATTTATTTAGCGAGGCAGTAATTCCTCCCAGTTTGAAGAGTGGTACTGAGTCGCTCCACAATAAATTCCGCTTTGATCAATCCTTATTTTTCGTGGGTCGGTGATCACGTTAAGTAGTTTTTTTTAGCCCAGACATCTACAACGTAAATGCGCCACCCACCTTGAGATATAAGCTCTAAGGTCTTAGTACACTTACAACAGCTACTCCACCCTTCAAACTGAAACGCATTAACGCTTCACGGCAGAAATAGGCGGGGTGGTGGTATCTACCCGCGCGCACTCACGCGAAAACCTACCTACCACCTGGAATTACGCAAATTATAATTTTGCAGGTTTAATTTTTATTACACGATATTATTCCTTGGAATAATAATTTAACCGCGGAAGTCAATCGTGAACATTTGGTGAATACGTATTTCATTAGAAAAATTGGAACGCGCCTGCGGGATTCGAACACCGGTGCATCGCTGTTAATGAATGCACCGGACGTCCTATCCTTTAGGCCACGACGACTTCAAAGTCTATGGACTCCGGTAATCACTTAACACCAGCTAGGCCGTGAACTCGTTCACCCGACGCCCCGCCACCAGTAATTTTTGCTATCCGATATTATTCCTTCATCGTGGAAGTCATCCGTGAGCCTCTATTAAGTACAATTTAATTAAGAAATGGTACCAATCGCATCGCTCATGCATGGTGCACGCAATGCACTGGGTATCAGCTTATCTTTTAGACCAGGGTCTAGGTGTAGTTAGACAGGAGGTCCGACCTTGAGAACGATTTCGTAGTGAAAGAGATTTTGAATTAGGCGTTTTCCCAGATTCGACGAGTATGCCTATTTAAATATTGACGAAATTTAATTTTATAATTCTAAAAAACATGCGAGTTATTTGAGATTATTAGTATGCTCAGCTAACATTGTCGGAATCCATAGACACGCCAAAGAAGTGTTGCTAGCACTAAAAAAAAACAGAACAAGAGGAAAAATTTAATAAAACAACATTTTTAATATAAAATTTGCGATTTTATTACAAACGTTTTAAAATTAAGGTATTATACATCTCATTTATTGGAATAATTTAAAACTAGCTAGACTATAAGTTTATAAGGTACAAATTATGCGCAAAATATATATAACGCTAGTCTTGAAAGATGGCTGAAATTAAGTGTAAGAAGTAAAGGAAGAAATTGATTGTTCCTTTTTTCTGTTTAGATGTGGCCTTGGAAATATGATTACTTAATTCATTAAATTAATAATAATTTTATTTATAATAATATCTTTATTAATTACATTTGGGTAACATATTGTGTTGATATTTACTTTAATTGAGTCGTCTATTATCAAAGGTGGCAATCTGTGCATTTGGACAAAAAAAATTTATTGATATGTCAATACATATTGATTTGAATATAATCGTCTCCTTCAAAGAATACGGTTCAAAACCTGCATTAAATAAAGGTTAATAGTTAACCTGTTATTTATCTAAGATGTCGTTCCGAAGAGTTTTGTAACTGCCAATGGAATACAAATTCGTTTTTCTGATTTACCAATAATTATCCAAAAGTCAGATTGCCGGCTTTGATAATAGTCGACTCAATTGAACTGCATTTTCTTATTTTAGTTTCATTTTAAAAATTATCATCTGTAAACCATAGAAACTAGAAATACAATCATCACTCAATTTACTCAAGCAAATATATTCACATTTTAACATATTATCAAAAAAAAATGTAAATTATGCTTTTTAAACTTATTGATCTCATACACTTTCATTAAATTTATAATAATAATCAAGAAATAAATTTAAGACATTTTTAATCACTAATAATATCCTTCATTCGACAACCCTATTCCATTCATTTATTAAACACTCAACAAAGTGAATTTCTGAGGAAATGACTAGTTAAAAAGAGCCGTACATTAGACTAAAAGTGGACTGATGATTAACCAATGACAATGAAGTCGGCAATAAAACGAAAGCTCAGTTGTTTTGTAAATAATAACAACAAATAAGTTTTTAAAATAGCCCTTTAAAATAGAGCTTACGGAGGGCACGACGGCTTTAAACTTTGCCACGGCTTTTACAGTTTCTTTAAGCTTTAAATTGCAAAAATAAATAAGAACAACAAGTATAAAGTATCTTATTAATAAAAACAAATGTAGGTAACAAGAAAGAGCAATGTTTAGTAAAATATTCGTTCCTGGAAATAGGTCATTGAGGTCGTCGAAGAGCATTGATTTATATACAGCATGTGTATAAATTTGAAATTTTAAATATGATACTGGGGCGGGACTATAATTTTGCATAACTTTATTTGAAATATTACACCCTGTACGTGATACGATTTATTAAGTGTCTATAATTGATTTTCTTTTGTTAACTTAAAGAAGATGTTGAGTGTATTAAGAGCAGTCTGTAAAAAAATCAATTAGTTTTCTTTCGAATTCAAATCAAGAGTTTAATTATCACTTACCTAGTTTATGATATTATATTTACATAGTACAACAGACTCCATCAGTTCATTACCGAAGCAAAGATCATGCCCTTAAAATTGTTTGAGCATTTTCATAATATCATCCTTGAGTGATTTACGCATATAATGGTTAGCATTTCAGTATATTGACCTACGTGTTAGTTTAAATTTCTTTAAAAATCTCACAGTGGTTCACAATGCAGCTTTACAACATAATAATTTTTTCTAGGGTAATAAAATTCCAGAGAAAAACACATAATTTATCTATAGTAAGTTCTATTTTAACTAGTGTTATTGGCAGGGCGGGTTTGGCTCATGATAAGTGGAATTGCGAACCGATATAAAAATAACGATGCCAATTTATTGTTGTACTCCGAAGGTGCTCTAGAAATTGTTTTAAGTTTAAAATTACGGTTGTTTTCTTTGGTCTTTGGACTACAGTAAAACTTTGTTGACGCTTTCGATGCACACGTTATTTACAATCAGACGACGTTATGGTCTGGAATGTATTCTGTTTACATCCTATCATCTTTAGTACCGACTTGAATGTTTTTCGTATATTACAAAGTGAACTTGAACTTTGAAATTTGTATCACAAAAGATATAGTAGATAGAATACAGCAGTGAATTAAGTTTTGGTAAATATCAGTATAAAAATCAGTACTAATTTAAGATAAAAAATTTTAAGGCATATTCTGTAGACATTCTTTTATTTGTGTCCATGCTTGCAAATTCTGAAACAAAACGTATTGTGTAAATGTATTAAATTTTTGAACAAGCCAATTCCGACAATTCATGATAATCATGACATTCTTGTCAACTGTCAGCTCTTTATAGGATAGACGAATCATTTATATAAACTAGTGGTCCCGCACTAGTCGAAATTCGACTAAAATTTTAAATGAGATTGTATGTTTAAACATTATTATGGTTCTATTGTCAAATACTATTATATTTCTATAATATAATCACAGATTTCACCAAAACTTACACTATAGATAAATAATATTAAAGACAAACAATATTAATCTATTCGGAACTTGACCACAGACTTTAAACATTAACAAAAGTTTGACAATTGACAATAAACAAAGAGTATAATTATATGTACGTGTTAAATTTTTATTGCTTTAATGTATGTTTTATGCATAATTAAAAAAAATAAAATAGCATTTTGCACTCCTCCTCTGTATTCTCTATAAGTGTGGGAAATTTCATATTCCTCCGTCCGCGCAATTTTCGTAAAAAGGGGTACAAAGTTTTTGCTTCACGTATTAATATATATGGAATTGTGTTTATCAACTGAGTTAGTTCTCTTAGGTTTCTTTAAAGTTTTGAATTATTTCTCACGATCATTATATCAAAATGTTTGATCAATAAACGAAAAGTTGTGTTGTAAGTAATCAAGAACAAAAGTCCTTATATTATATTTTCGTGTTTATTTTCGCTTTGTTACAGAAATATTCTGGCCTGACCACCTCAATTTACTCTTATTGATTTAGGAAGAAATAAATAATGCACAATCTTACCCTTTTCGCAGCTTTAACTTGTAATGTTATGAAATTTACTAGCGACTCGTGCAAGTCCTTATCTTTTTGCTTCTGGAAATGGTCTATTTCTACCATAACTTTCTTTGTGAATTCTCTGTAAGCAATGCCACACAGGATTTAAAGACCTTGACGACGATGGAATAACCCCGAATTGTTGTCGTGAAGCGGTTTGAAATGTAGGACAACAGTTAAACAATGAAACTGAGATTTTGACCAAATGAGGCATTGAAGTGGTAATGTCTTTTGGCTTTGGTAACAAATTGGCAAGTGGGTTGTGAGTTCTTACCATTAAAATCATTGAGTCCCCCACAACTATCTGCAGTTCTGTTAGGGTATTGTAGATATCTACTGAACCGCCTTAGTTTAAAACAATTCATATCCGGTTCTTCCCGACTTATTAGACTGGTTACCGTACATTACAGATTCAAATGCATTTCTAAATGTGGTCTAAATAAAATTGGATTAAATATGTTTGCTGGTCTTATGAGACCTATAGGTCTACCTAAAGGCTGTGCCCCGTTGAAAGGTCCTAGAACTTTATCAACTCACTCTAAATCCAGTTTAGCCTTTTCTATGGCTTCGTTATCTGCTTGTATCTTAGCGTCGAGAGCTCGCGTAGTTTGGTCCCGCACTATATCAGGATCCGTGGTACCAAACAGTCGGGACATTATACCGGATTTTCCCGCCGCCGCTCTGGTGCGTTCTGCTAACCTGTAGATTAGAATAAATTTATTTTGGTTTTTTTAGTTACTTTAAAGTTAGTTGGGAAGTGGCGGGAAGCTCAAACCGGGAGTGTTGCTATCACTGACCCTAGCAAGAGCAGTGCTTCGCAGAATCTACCACAGGATCGGAAACGCGACCCACTGAGAAGATCCGGCGAGAAACTCAGTGGGCTGTATCTATGGGTTAATTTACTCGTCGAGCCCTTAGTCGCAAGCGACGGGTTCGGAGAGGACTTGAGGTGCTTGAGGTACCTAAAAGCATCGTTAATGGATCGGGAGGATCTGTAATAACGTGTTTAGGGCGACGTCGACTGTTTACCATTCGGTCCACAGGATCGGGTATGACCCAAATAATACTCAACGTTCTTGACAACATGAAGCCTTCATTTAATTGCTTTGTGTTTGGTGTTCAGAGCTACGGTACTAGCTCGTGTGGGCTCACAATACGGCCTGCCATTGCCTTCATCGTGAAGACATTTGTTAAGAACGTACTTTATTAGAAAAACTGGTCTGCGAGATTTGAACAGAGGTATAGTTGCATCGCATAGAGTAATTCCCACTGATATCAACAAAGTTAGTTGTCAGCTGTCAGCTGTCACCGCTCGGCTGGTTGTCACTGTCAAAAAGTCAAAGCGACGACACAGATAAAATATAAGATTGTCTCACCGATTATTGAGCGTGTCTTGTGCCTGTTCCAGGTTTCGTTGGAGAGCCTCATGATTGCTGCACAGCTGCTGCAGAGCTCCCGCATAAAACAGATACTCTTTTAATTGGTCCGCCAGCTGTTCTTCGTCTTCCGCAACCGAATCTATACTGTCCGCTATTGAATCTATTACGAGAAAATTAAATATTCTTCATGTTGTTGTTGCAAGTTAAAAGATATTTATTGGAAATGAAACTGACTCTAGCTCAATTTTTTTTTAAAAGTAGCGAGCTCGAGTAGCGATTTTGAAATAACTCGCAAACATTAGCATTGTTAATAGAAATCTTATACTTTTAAACGAGTAATTCTTGTATATATATATAATCTGAATCTCGGAAACGGCTCCAACGATTTTCATAAAATTTAGTATACAGGGGATTTCGGGGGCGATAAATCGATCTAGCTACGATTTATTTTCAGAAAATGTTGTTTTATTCGTGTTTTCAATAATCAACTTTATCGATAATCAACTTTATAACTCTTCCCGACATCTATTGGCGAAAAATAATACTATTTTTACTGGTTTAAAGACACAACAAGATGGCGTTATAAAAAAAAATATCATCTAGTATCAATTTAACTTAGCAGTCAATAAGCAAATGTCACAATAGTATATATCGAGGGAAGAAAAGCTCTTTAATCGACTACCGGGGGACCACTAGTAATTTAAATCGCGTCCGTGCCGTATCCGCTCCACGCGTGCGCCGCGCCTTAAGCCTTACGCCGTTTGTGTGTATTTCGCGCTTTAAGCTGCTTTCAGTCTACGCTATAGTGTAATAGCATATATTATATATTGTTATAGACACGTTCATACTGTACTGAGTCTACGTCGCCCAAAACACGTCATCTCGGATCCTCCAGATCCACTAATGGTGCTTTTAGGTACCACAAGCACCGGTCACCGTTCTCGCCGAACCCGTCGCTTGCGACGAAGGGCTCGGCGAGTAAATTAACCCACAGACACAGCCCACTGAGTTTCTCGCCGAATCGATTGCGTTTCCGATCCGGTGGAAGATTCTGCGAGGCACGTCTCTTGCTAGGGCCAGTGTAAGCAACATTGTCAGGTTTGAGCACCGTGAGCTCACCTACTAGAGACATGACATGGTCTCTCTAGACCATCAGCTTAGGTATGAATAAAAAAAAGAAGAAAAAGGTACTGTACTGTATATTATTGGCTAAGTATACGCTGGTATACTATATGACACTATAGTATAGCACAGTCTGAAAGCAGCTTTAGAAGAGAGTCGCGAACGGATAGAACTAAATTCGAGTTTAAAGTCGTTACCGAAATAATGTCCGGCCTTCTGCAATCCGTCTCCCATCTCTTTCTCGATGACGCTCCATTCGCTAAATAGTTTGCCGTAGTTCGCGTGCAGTTTACATAGAGCGTAATTTTTTTCTATTATTTTGGATCTGAAAAATAATTTTTGGGATGTTTAGTTTTTTGAGTAAGGGCTTTAAAGGTTGATATTTTAGTTTTTATTGCTCAGATGGGTGGACGAGCTCACAGCTCACCTGGTGTTAAGTGGTGACTGTAGCCCATAGACATTTACAACGTAAATGCGCTATCCACCTTGAGATATAAGTTCTAAGGTCTCAGTATAGTTACAACAGTTGCCCCACCCTTCAAACCAAAATGCATTACTGCTTCACGGCAGAAATAGGTGGGGTGGTACCTACCCGTGCGGACTCACAAGAGGTTTTACATGAACATTTTGATGAACGTCACTAACCTACAAATAAAATATTGAATAATAATAATAAGTGCATATAATATGTATTGAAATATCAGTCACTCATTATATACTTAAAATTTTGACATAGAAACTCTTTTTTGTGATCTAGGTGCTCACTAAGAATGGATTATATGTAAATCTTAATCAGAGTGGATATACTATTCTAGGTATAATAGAAACGCATATATTTAGCAAGCGTCGCCATGGCAACCGCATGGGACTAGCAGCCTCAGTACCAGAGAGAGTGACATGATCAACTATTGTAACACGATAATGTTTCATAAATTTTAACATCAATTTAGAGTTAAATAAAGTTGAATAGCAGGGCATATTTAGTGTTGCAAAATGTTACAATGTACAATATGAAGATTGTTTTCAATAATTAATTCCATTGCTTCTTTTTCACTGAAGATGTCTTCTAAAATGTAAGGCATTAGTGCTACATTGTAGTTATAGATTCATTTCTTGAATATCGAAGTGTTAGGGGATTGTTACTATCTTATTGCTTGTTTAATTTTAGTCTTTACTATTTCAATCTATATAACTTTAAATTTAGTTTATATTTATAAGTTTCATTTACCTTGTATATAAAAAGTTTCCTAAATTAGTTTCTAATTGTTTCCCGTAATTTTTGAAGGACTCAACTTCAGGATCGGGCTTCTTCAACCTTATAGATACGGACAGTGATTTTATTTTATTTTCAGCTTGTAGTAAATATCCTGTTGGAAAAACGTCATGCAATTACTTTTTTTATTGTCCTTGTAGACGAGCTGATAGTACACTTGATAGTGAGTGGTTACCATCTTTCATGGACGTCAGCAATGTCAGGGTCACAGCAAAGCCGCTGCCTATCATTGAGTAATATCTCTACAAATCTATTTTATTTTTAACTAATTCAAAATAATAATATGAATTGTTCATTACTAAGTAGGCTTTTTCAATATTAATTGCATAGATGGAACAAGCTCCCAGCTCACTTGGATGTAGTCTGGTTAAAGAAGTCAAAAGATATCTCAATGTGAGTATGTCGAAACAACTAGAGTCATGACGTTGAAGTATCTCAACTGTATTGTATATCTTTTCTATTCTTGAAACTGGAAACATGGATCTTGGAAATTTCAAGTATAAGTTACTTTACTACTACTACTAAAACTTTTAGCTAGTTCAGTCAAAGTTATATCAATATTTCTGTACATAATAATATTTATATGTTAGAGTTGTATTCTATTTTTATACTTATTACAATATTTTTTATTAAAATAGTGTTCAGATTTATTTATAATATGGAAATTGCATTTTAACTTACCACTATCGGTGATAGTTTCCCGCCAACCATGTTCTTCTTGTAGGAAATTAATGAATTGATCATCGAAACATAGTCGAGGGTGAGATGCGACTCGTAATAGGAAATTTTCTAAGCCAGCTCGACGGCGCTCCACAAACTCCGGGTCTGTAGTGTCCGATTTGCGCCACGCGTAAAGCACCTAATATTAAAGACTATGTTAAATTATTTTAAAATTTAGTCTTTATATAAAATTTTTTCTTTAAAATTTCCAAAAATAAATTATAAGTTTTCCTAATGTATCATAAAGGCAGCTAGATCGAAATAATATATCCAGGTACAATAGATCCTATTTGCAAATAAGTAAACAGATGTTGCTTGTATGTAATAGTTTTTCTGACAAAAAGGATAATTAAGAAACAATAATCACTTATTTATTGTTGTTCAATAAATTAATCTAATTTTGTTTTTATGTTAGTTGTGTTTTTTTTGTTTTGTAGATGTTATCTATATAATCTCATAATAAATTTAAATTAAAAAAAACTCTATAGTGTATTTTAAAATTATTCCTAAAGCCAGGACAGGAATTTTCTGCAAATCTTGAGTCTTGCACAATAGTCTACATAATCTGTAGTAACACCTGTTAACAGTGGACCAAATTCATGCAATACAAAATCTCATGACAAAGAGTTCACCATTTCTCTCAAATCGTCTTGTTGTTTAGATCCATTTCAATTTACAATTTAACAAAGAATTTAAGACATATTTCTTAAAATATTAAGTGTTTTTTAAAAAACTCAATTGTTATTAAAAAATAATTGGTAATTAATATAAATTTTCTAAAACATAGGAGATTTAATTTCTTCATCACTTATGACATATTTTGGTTATATCTTAAATGTGACCTTACCCTTTTCTCTGGTAATGGAGGTATAACAACATGTGGATATGTGACTTGTAGGTAATCATGTATTTGTTCGAATTCAGTGTATCTCCTCCAGATTGTGCTTATTTTTGATTGTACTAATTTGTAATCAGGATCTGTAACTCTGCAAATTAAAAATTATTATATTCATGATGTTAGTTTAGTTCAGCTGTTTATAGTCAGGCATCAGTCGATGATGTGGGTAAGTGCGTAAATATAAAAAATTTCAAGTAATACTTTTTTTCACAATCCAATTTTTCTTTGAGCGTGTTTATCAAATTTTCTTCAAATTGTATTATTAAAACATTGATTAAACAAATGACAAAAAGAGCAAGTAAGTAAAAAAATAAAGTGATAAAGCTTTTTGTAGTATTGTGTTATTTCGCTTTTATTTTTGTTAATGAAACACAAGGGTTGGCGTAAATTCGGAGAATTAAAATTCCATCGCAACCAATCTCCACGAGTATAACGTTACTCAACCCGTAAACTATTCAAATTGGTCTAATTGACTGCCTATTTGGGTGCAATTTGTAATTTCAATCATAGTTGAATCTTACTTTAAATCGACGAGATATACTGTGTAATGATCTCTGACGTGTAGAGTACCATTAGCTCGTTTCTCTGACTCCACAATAGTTATATCGACATGCTTCAACAGTGTGTCCTGCGAAAACAAACCTGCGTAAATAAAATTATTAACATACAAAAAGACAGAAGGCGTAGGTAATAAAATATTACCTGATTTTCGAAGTCTTCTACTGTTTTTATTGCTTTTGGCGATTTAGGTGATTTGACCGGTGTATTATCTTTAGACATTTTAAATATTGATAACAAAGAAACAATTAATATACGGAAAACGAATGAGGATTTCCCAAATTATTAATTTTTAATTCTTCAGGTAGGCAGTGATATGACAAAATAAATACGTCAAAATAGCAGTTAAACGTCACCAGTGACAGATGTGTTTTTTTTTTATTTGGCGTAGGGATAAAAAGCAAATTTCTTCCTTTCAGCCAGCAAAGGTGAAATTATTTTCATCTTATGCATAAAATCAAGTTACAGATTCCTGTAAAGGTCCAATGTCACTGTCAAAATTGATTGATTGGAACAATATTCTAATTCACTCTCAGTAATTTGATATCTATTTATATTGGATTAATTGGACACCACTTTTATAACTAGTCTCATTTTACATTATCCAAGTGCAAGTATTTAAAAACCAACACAAAATGGAGGAGGTTCTCATTTTTCAATTCGACTTTGATTTTTATTAGAAAACTGGCGCTTCTCATGCTATCCCATTAATTTGATCAAGATGTGACCTGTAGTTTTTATGCTATTCTTTATAATGTATATTTAATTGATTTCGACTTAATTCATGATATTCTCATTAAATTTTGTACAAAACGGTCTTTTGTTGTGTGTTAAAATTTTGTATTATTAAATAATTATTCTCTACATGTTGTTTAAGTTCGTAATGTCATAGTGTATTATTTATAATAATGTCTGATCACTGCCCTAAGAGATCTCGCAAACTATTCTAGATTTTCAAAAAGGTGTCCAGTCGGACAGCTAAACAAAGACTTTATGAGCATCTTTGATGCAAGTAAGTGTTTTCAGATCTTTGTAATACTTTTTTAATTTTTCTTAGTAGTCTCAGTTTTTTTGGCCCACCCGATGTTAAATTGTAACCGGAGCCCATATACATCTACAACGTAAATGCCGCCACCCATCTCGAGACATGAGTAAGGTCTCAGTTTTAACACTACATAGCTGCCCCACCCTTCAAATCGAAACGCATTACTGCTTCGCGGCAGAAATAGGCGGGGTGGTGGTACCTACCGTGCGGACTCACATGACGTCCTACCACCAGTCTCAATTGCTTTTTAATGATGACAAACGAAACCAAGCTCAACCCTAGTTATGCTGATATTTATGGACGAAGGCAATCACTTGCTATTACGTAGACTAAGAGTACACTGCTGAATTCAACTTCATAATTATTATTTTGTTTTGATTTAATTATAAAATAACCAAAGTAATAATTATAATGGATCTTTTGATTTTAATTATTTATAATACTTTAAAGACGTACCAATAGTTTTAGTTTTAAATTCAATGAATACGCAAAGACAATTTTATGTACAAGTTTCGGATCTAGAATCACCTGAGGCGATTCTTAAAAGTTCCTCAAGACCAAAGGGCTGTTCAACTATTTATTGGAAGGTCGGACAGCGTGTAATGCTTGAGTGCTTTAGTGGAAAGCTTTAAATATTAAGTAGGCTTATGTCACTGACTTTCAAGCAGGTGGCTATCTTATCCCAAAGAATTCTTTACTGCATTGGTTTCGGCTTAAAAAAGGATTGCCGATTATATATTAATTTATTATTTTTGTTTCAATATCATCATAACGTTTGGTAAAAATCTACTTTTAGGTTACGTAATATGAAACATTCTAACGCCAACGTAACATTGGAAATAAAAAAAAAAAATTCACGGATTATGTACTTGCGAAATTACAGTAACTTTAATAACTGAAAAAAATATCAACCCTTGTTTTTAGTAGTCGCTGTGCTTGGAATCCTACCTTGTAATAGATTATGGCAAAATCTTAATTTACTATAATTATTATTTTTATTTTTGTCATAGCAGTCGTGCCGTGTATTGATTTTCAAGTTTTAGAAAACTAGTTTAATAGTCCAAGTTGAAGACAGAAAAACCACAATATGAGCAATAAAAAAAAAGTCTACATGTTCTTGCAGTAAACTTGAAAAAGGCGTCGAAACGGTAAATAGGATTAATTAAGCCACTCTGCAAAAGCTTTTGTCAAAAAAAAAAGAACAGTAAAATTTGTTTCTGATTTGGCACTGAAGATAAATTAATCTCATTAGGGCAAACTTTGCGAAAGGATCAAGTCTGCGATAAGGCAACGGTGTCTTAGCCATAAGTTGATATCTTGGTAAATTTTGCAGTGTCAAAATTATATCTTTCCAATAATGTCGAAGAGTTTTAAATAAGATTACACAACTTATATAAACTTTATTTAATGGAAATATTGTTTCGTTTGGTTATCGAAAATTAACTACTACCCTGGACAGTCTGATTAACAGGCTTTCTGGAACTAACTATAATATTATTGTTTCTTAGATGGGATTATATTTCTTATATGTTTCGTATTAGTATCATCCGACTTGTCTTAGTGCTATTCGAGCAACTCAATCGTAGCAGTTTGTATTAAAGGCATGGGTCAGGCGACCAGCCGTTCCTTCGCGCGGCATGCGGATCTTCAAGGCGATTGGTTTGGTCCCAGGAGACTGAATGAATTTGTCTTCTTGGCCATCGCAGGTACTGAATAAGTGTGCTTGCTACATAAGGTAACATCACTGTGAATGCTTTGAAGAAACGGCAGAGCAAACGATCGTGATCTGCCTTGCATAGCAACGACTTGTTCTTGACGCACAAATCTCTACTGACTCAAAATAATATTAAAAGTAGTATCTAGTAAAAACAAAATGGACGTTCGCGTTTTGTTCCCTGCTGGTACTTTCAATTTTAAATCAGGTGCATTTGATATTTAAGTTCTATAATGATTGATATTATTGTTTTCCGAAAATAAATACGCAGGAGATTTATCTTAAGAATTTTTTAATTGGCTTTCCATTTTATAATAACAAAAATGCGTCTACGGAACTATTTAATGTAAATAACATTTTTCCTGTCAACGTGCTGAAATTTATAAGTAACACTAGCTTTTACTCGCGACTTCGTCCGCGCTAAATTTTATCCGCCTCTTCATTTACGTAGAATATCATCTTTTATAAAAACACCTTCACAAATAATGCTTTATTGTAGAACAAATTTGGTTAGCATAAAAAACGTTATAGAGAACCAACCTTAACATATAGACATATACTGTCGTGGTTTTTTTTTATATCTTTTAGAGGGGAACAATTCTCTCATATATTATTTTCGCGAAACTTTAACCATTTCCGCAGCGCACACAGTGGAAGCTCTCAAAATAGAAAAAAACCCCGATTTTGAAACATTATTTATTGGTATTCCGCTTGCATTGGTCTTAGCGTGATTTCTACAGCCTATAGCCTTCCTCAATAAATGGGCTATCTAACACTGAAAAAAAATTCAAATCGGACCAGTAGTTCCTAAAATTAACGCGTTCAAACAAACAAACTCTTCAGCATTATAATATTAGTATAGATGAGTGATTTGAACATTTCATAAATTATAAATAAATGGATAAACCCTGAACAGGAAACCAGAATAAGAAAAAACAGGACAAGTAATTTATTTGTTCAAATCATATAAAATTAGACAACACATTACATAACTTCGCCATTGCTTAATCCAATCATATTATCTAAGTATTATACTAGTATATTTGAAATAAAAATCATTGGTTAATTAAACAATTAGAAAAACGCAGAATGTCCAGAATGTATATACAGTCAAAATCTGTTATAACGACATCGAAGGGACTGCTCATATTCAGTCATAAAAACCGATAGTCGTAACAACCGGTGATGTTTAATGTGTATCGTGCAAGTACAAACAAATCGATAGGGAATTATTGGAAAAATATATTTACATAATACGCGATTTTTCTTCAATATTAATTTGTTTTCTTTTTCTTTGCGACATTTTGAAAGTTTCACGAATAACTCCACAAAGTTTTGGTGCGTCTTGTGTATAGANCGATAGTCGTAACAACCGGTGATGTTTAATGTGTATCGTGCAAGTACAAACAAATCGATAGGGAATTATTGGAAAAATATATTTACATAATACGCGATTTTTCTTCAATATTAATTTGTTTTCTTTTTCTTTGCGACATTTTGAAAGTTTCACGAATAACTCCACAAAGTTTTGGTGCGTCTTGTGTATAGATAAGTAACAAACTAACTAAAGAGATATGAAGAAGCGGGCTTTGACTACCGCATGCACGTGTTTTGTTTCTAAGAATTAGAAAAGACCCTACACTAAACTAAATCCTATTGTTTTCTTTCCTGATTTTAAAAGCCATCGAAGACAAATGTGGATGCCTATTCAAATTGTTTACAATACAGCTTAGCCGGTCGTTCTAACAAATCTAATTCTCCGAAATATTAGTTAAATGTGGTCGTTTTATGAGGTATGTCGTTATTACCAATGTCGTAGAAAGCAATATTTTTAATAAGGCGGTCATATGGCATTCAGCCGGGACCTTTGTTCTTGGTTATTATAACCGGCATGTTGTATTAAACGATGTCGCAGTAAACGGTTTTGACTGTATTACTCATTTAATTCTTTGAGCGTACCCATTAATGAGATTTAATAATGAAAATTAATTAATGAACTTAAAATGCTCGAAGTGCTTTTCTCTTGAGTACGTATAAAGTTTTATTAAGTTGTTATCGCCTGGTAATCGCGCCAGTCACCTCGTTGGCTTAGTGACCCTGACTTACTGCGGTTACAAGTTCGATTTCCAGGCGGAATCAGTATATTTTTCGAATATTAAATTTTTAGTCGCATTTTTGGGTGCGTGGCTTTATATCACTTGTGCAGTGATATGAAATTTAGCCTTTATTGCTTTTCAGATTTCAATGACGAATTTCGTTAAAATTGGTTTAGCGGTCTAGGTGTTTTTTTTAAAGGTATTTTATGACCTGGTTATTAAGACCTTCACGCCTTATTTTAATTTATATTCTTATTTTGATGAACAATGATAATATGGACTGAAATGAAGATGATTAATTTGAGACATTAATCAACTGGGATGAAATTAAATGAAATGAGATGAAAATAATATGGGATGAAATATAATCTCAGGAAAATAGTGGTCATTTACTGACATTTTTTCAGTGGACTCTTTGGAGGATCCCGAGAAGTTACGTCCAGCGGTTTTATTTCATTTTCCCACACTTGTG